TGAGAGAAATGAAATAAAAAGCACGAAAATTAGTTCTATTTTTATATAGGAGAATCAGAGAATCGAATAAGTCCACAACGAAGAATAAAAAAGCACTCGGGCACTTGGGCACACAGGTATAAAACTTATGAGTTGCATAATTATATGAGTCGCATGTGACTATAAAGCTATAATTGCATGACTTTGGCCATAACATACTGATAGCCTCCTCCGCACGCAGGCATCTCTTATGTCTTAAAAAAATGCATATTTGGCCTTGGCTAGCTGTTTGCGAACTAACGTCTAAGCGTCTTTAACCTTTTGATAATTGAATTAAATTAAATGAGTTAAATGAAACTAAAAGCGCTGTTACACGATGCACGGCAATTCTACTTGCGTATAAGTGTGTATACATAATTCCACTCGAAATTAAGACCCTTTAAACCCCTAGAATTTACGTGCGAGTGAAGTGCCAAAAATCATAATTTATTTACCCTGACCTATTCCCGGCATTACCATCCTATACACATTAACCATGCACGCTTGCTCTTGTCAGCTACCTCTGCAGTCAGTGGCAAGAGCATTGTAGCGGCACCACAAAAGCGCAGGTTCGATTCCTGCTGGAGGACCGATAGTTGACTCACTTTTCCATCAACTGTTTCTGGCTTGGATTTGAAGTGTGTATAATTCCACTCGAAATTAAGACCATTTAAACCCCTAGAATTTACGTGCATCGAGTAAAGTGCCAAAAATCACATACTATAACACTGAATAAACATTACATTTCCTTTAGCTATAGACAACAATTTCAAGAGACAGCTTTTAATCAAACTTGGCCAAGGTAAAGACCCATACTTACTTATTTACTGAGTGTAAAATGATGGAAAGGTTTAGCTATACATTTACGTCTGTAACGTATAGTTTCCGGTATTATGTTGAGATATTCTTAAACAAATACTCAGGACATCACAGTACGTGTCAGTTTTATTTGGCGTAAAAAGTGCATTATATGCGACACCCCTATTTTTGGACCTTGCTACATGAGCAAGAGCGTGGGTTTCGTGAAGTTAAAAGAGGTGAACCTTTAATCAATTCGCCTCTGGTTGTTTTGAGCGGAATGGACACTCATTAAGTGAATGAAATATACTTGGAACTAGGTAGTACGGGGATTATTCAATACTTGTAATTTTTCACTTTCAGAATCGACGAGATTGGAGAAAACCCAAGCTCAGGTAATACATACCACATGCACAAGGAAATTTCCTAAGAGCAGCGGAAACAGCTGAGAGCGGTGTATGAAAGAAAGAGTGTTAGGAGTCCTGCATGTATTTTTGTTCTGCATGAGTTTCACCATGTATTTGAAATAGCATTACGGTTTAATCTCAGCGTTTGTTTATGGCGTTATATATGCGGCGTTTCTTTACTCGACCTTCAATTCGATTTTTCATTTGTTTAAAAAAAATTATCTTCACAGGCCTATTACCGTATGCTTCAAAATCATTAATTCCAGTAATGTTTAGCATATTCCTCAACCTAAACACGCCCGGGAATACGTTATTAAGCATACTAATTTGCATCATTGTGACGCCTGCGATCATAACCACAGGGAGCTTCCGTCAGTAAACTATTGGCCCTCGTCTCAGTTCTTTTCCCTTAAACGGTTTCGGTTGCTGATTATTATCGAAATAATATTTAATTACGGTCAACATGACCAGCATGGTTCAGAATTAGGTCAAAACAGTCCCAATTACATTCTCTAAAGTGTTAAATTATCTTGTTCACACATTATTGTTTAGAAGAATGTGCTGTTGTGCCTAGAAAAACATTATATACCGGGGCGAAAGAAGTGTTTAAGGTAGGTTATGAGACTGTGATATCCTCCTAATTCTATAGATAAGAAAAATTTTAGCATATGTACTGAATAATGCAATACTTAGAATTTCTAAGTATGAGTTAAAATATGAAATCATTATAAAAAACACAGTTTGAGGTGGTCTAGTATAATGAAAATCACGATTTATCCTGTTTTAAAAATTTTCAGGGATGCAAACTTAAATATTTTCTTAATCGATCCTGAATATTTTTTTTAAAAAAATACATAAAGAATGCGAGAATTAAACGAAAAGTTTTACTAATTATTGTTTTACCTTGCTAACAAAAGAGGTACATTGGCTTATTCTATTGTTGTTTCGTTGCCTAAGTGTATTGTTTTCTATAATTTATGAGTATATAATTTATTTGAGGTTGAGCTCCGAGGTAAAAATATTTAGAACTAAATAAAACTAATCTCGTCGTTCCAGCGTCAAAACGTAGTTTGTTATCGTGTTCACAAAAATCGTCTATTTTCCACCATTTGGTGTGTTTGGTCTGGGTAACTATAGTGATTGAAGACTTCTACAAGTCTTTTTTCTTTCAGAGCAACTTGGCTTTCAATATGTCATGAAAAGATTGTTATATTTTTCAAAATGAAAGAAATTTTTCTAAATGTACTAGAATACCTTAAACAGTACCTATATTCATCACGGTGTATTTTCTTTACAAATTTTGTTATATAGTTTTCGAAATTTTGGACACAATATGGACCCGATTAACTTGTGAACTAAATATATAAAAACCTTTGATACTTAAATGTACTTCCAGCTGATCTCAGATCACGACCTCCTGAGGCGCCTCCACAAAACTGAGTTATCATGCGTTGGCGGTTATCTTCCAACTAATAATATAAAAGGCAAAAAATAATGTGCAGAATAAATTACCACAGCTTAAAATCAGAATCACATTGGTATAGATTTTAATGTAAAAATATTCTTTTCAAATCTGTAACCATTAGCTTTGTTATTAAGGTGTTTTGAATTTAAAATTAAGCTGTGTAATTTATTCTGCACACCCCTAGATTCGCCACTGTACCGGACTGTCTCGCATGGGGAATGTCGAACTGAATTAGACCTTTAATATATGAATATTTTTAAAATTTTCTGTGCGATATTGTACGCAATTGAAATTCAAAGCTGAACTGCCATTTTTTCAGTGTCGTAGCCATCCCGACAATTTAGTCATGCTATGCTAATATTTTGGTGTTCATTGACTGTGAAAACAATGAATTTCTAAAGAGATGAATCATAATAATAACGTAAAATTTGCACAGCATGTCTAAATCTTCAGGCTGGCTACGCCACTGCATTTCTAAAATAATGCCTCTTTATACAACGTGCGTCCGAAAAAACCGAAAGCTATTGCTGTAACTGTGCATAAAAAGTTTTTGTCGAACATTTATATACTTGGGGATCCCAACAGGGTGCTTAGGGAACAAATCTAACTATTACATTGTTTTGGGGGGTTTCAATAGTTTTGGTGTTTTTTGGGGACACCCGGTATTAACAAATGATCGATCCTCTGGTGTCCTTTCTTCCTTTCTCAGGGGATACCAAATGTTGTGGAAAAAACACAAGATGTGGAAAACGCTAGGTAGGCTTTGCTGGTCGGTTAAGCTTGTTTATCAAACCAGCATTGGCTATACAATCATAAAATAGTGGTGGACAACTCCAAGTCGATGCGATAATGCATGACAATAGAAAAGTTTGGGGAATCACGCAAGCTTTCAACTGCACCTCGTTTGACTGAGGCTTTTAACTCCTTGATCATAATTAGTAATACTAATTATAATATTATTCTTATATCACTAGTGTACAAAACAGTTCGTGTGAACAAGAATTATCGCTAGAGGAGGTACTGTATATCAATATGAAATGTGTATAAAAGCTTTGCAGGCAGTCGTCATTGAAGTGAACGTACACCTTTTACACCAATGCAATGTTTGAATGCATTGGCCTGTTTCATACTAGAGACGGATTATCCGTCCGGACGAATAATCCGTCTGACTGATCATTCGTCTGAGTATAAACACAAGACGAACTATCTACAGGTAGACGAACTATGTGGACGAATATGTCAGGCGACACAGAACCACGCGTTTAGAAACTGCGCGGGGATTGAAAACGAATATGCAGGGCAGGAAAATCCAGTAGATAATGCCTAAAAATTTCGACGGAAAATGTTGCCCTATTTTAGCAATTATTTTCTATATATTTATATCCATATATCACTATATATTAACAACATGGAGAAAGTTTGCTTGTAGAATAGCCGTGCATTCCAAACCCCTTTAAGATAACGCGCACTGTAAATTGAACACTGAACACACTGCATTGAACATTTTACATTACCGCGTTCTCCCACAAGCATTAACGTTCTCTGAAGGTTAATGATGAGAGGCGAGGACTGATTCGGAATCGATGATGTTTAGGCCCCACTCTTGCTGGAGTGTAGCAATCATACTTTTTGCAACACTCCGATTTGAACTGAATAATTGTAGGTATTTTCCTGTGTTCTCCTAAATAATTATTATGTTTTTTGTTATCTGCGCAATAAATTCGACCATTTGTTGAGGAAAGTAGTTCGATAAATCAAGATACACTGTAAATCTCGGAGTGTTGGCACAACACCGAAATCGGTGTAAAATCTTGCAGCAATATGAACACTAATATGGTGTTTATTTACGCTATATTTTGGGTTAATTTACACTATTCATGGGTAGAATTTATGCAGCTATGGGTACACTATGGCGACGTAAATATACACCATTAGCGTAAACTAACACCTCTATAGGTTTTCCTACACCTATTTCGCGTAAAAACGCTTGCAGCAATATGAACACCAACTTCGTGTATAAATACACCGCGAGAGTAAACTTACCCCTCCCAAGGTTTTTCTACGCCTATTTAGTGTAAACGTGCTTGCAGCAATATGGACACCGACCTAGTGTATAAATACACCGCGAGGGTAAACTTACCCCTCCAAAGGTTTTTCTACGCCCATTTAGTGTATACGTGCTTGCAGTAATATGGACACCGATCTGGTGTATAAATACACCGCGAGGGTAAACTTACCCTTCCAAAGGGTTTTCTACGCCTATTTAGTGTAAATATGCTTTCAGTAATATAGCACCGATCTGGTGTATAAGTACACCAAAAGAATAAAAATGCTCTTCTAAACAATGGCCCGGTGCCACGAAATGAATTAATTCTAGTGCAGTGGTAAGGTAAAAACATATTTATTTCTATATGACAGAATATATTACATTATATTATATTGTACATAACAAATTTACAAACCAGCTATATAACATGGACTTATGCCTAATACTTCATGTTCACTGTTCCAGTTCATTTAAGAATAATAAAACTTTGGTTGGCACTCTTACCCGGTCAAAAATATTTAGAACAGTACGTTGTAAAAAAAGGAACGTGTTAAAACACTGTTTCGGGTACTCTAAATTACAAACATAATACAAAAACAAAAGGGACGATACTGCTGAAAAAATGTTATCTGTTTCCAAACAAACTTGTTTTTCCCCTGCAACAAACATTTTGTTCATTATGTGACCATCACTGTCCTCCACGAAGATGATGAATGGGCTGATGGGGCTGGCAGCTTTCTTCAACAATACCTCTGGGTTTTCTGCTGTCTACATTTGAAATAAAATTTTTTTTAAAAAATCATAACAAAGTCTTCATATTAAAACTATTCATGATTGACCACTTAACAGACCACTAGCTTACACTTATCATGACAATACATTTTTCCAAAAGGTGGTGTAATAACATTGATAAGCATTGACAAGGTACTAAAGTATATTATACATACCTGATAAAGGAAATTTTCTGGATGTGGATTACTTTTTGTTTTCCTTTCCAAAAGGTGTGGCAAGGTACAAAGTGCCACAACAACTTTCTCATCTAGGAACAAAGAAAAAATTACATAATTAATCTTAATTATTGCTCTGACTGTGTTAATAAAGAAGGAGAATAATCACAATAGGGTGTATATATTGAAACCACACACAGCATAATAATTAACTTTTGATAGGAAAATATATTCATTTAAATGAGTATCAATGGGATTACCATCTGTCAATCTGTTCTCCTCATCCAGTTCATCCTCATTTTGTACGCAAGCTTGAACCAGTTCTTCAAGTTGAGGGAGTTTCTTCTTGCTGGCAGCTTTCAAAATCTTAGGTGCAAGCTCACGTAAGTTTGTAACAACCAAATCTTTAACACTACTGCCAGACACCAATCTTTCATACTCATCTTGTAACTATAAAAAATCAATATAAGTTATAAGAGTAATTTAAAAGTAACTTATCAATCATATTACCCAGTGCCGGATTATATGTTTATGCACAGATATTACTAACTATATAATACTAACCTGATCATGTTCAAATAAAAAAGGGTATTTCGCATCAATTTCATTAAGGGAACACTTCCCAGCATTTATGTACTTTCTTCTGAAGGAGAAAGTCAGTTGCATTTTCTGCTTAACGACTTCCATGTTTGGGTGCTTTTTTCGGTACTCCTTCTGCATCCATTGAACATGGGCTTTGTTAGAATGTAGGTCCTCACCATCAACAGCAGGAGGTTCCCAATTTATTATTCCCCTTCGGCTGCTTCCTGGCACCTTAGCTGTCAAATCCGAGCCTTCAATTGACTTTCTTTTTCTTGCTAGCACAACTGGATCACTCCTTTCATGCCTTAATTCATTTTTAACTTTATCGCCTAACTGACGATACCAGGTTTCCTAAGGAAAAATTATATGGTCTCAGTATTTTTCATTAATACATGGTTTCAGTATTAACATACAAAGCAACAGTGTTTTCCCCTTCACATGTAAATCATCTGGCATCAGATATCAGGCCATGATGGGATTTCAATAAGGCTTGTGAAATAATATTGGTACATGAACTTTTCACAATCATAGTCCAATACATAATAAGCCACAGGAAATGTTAAAAAAGAGCAAACAAATAATTGCAAAAAAATAATGCTAAATCATTAAAATATTACTTACATAGCTGCCACCAACATCTGCCAAGGAAGGATATTTTGATATAATTGCCCTACATACATCCGGCGTTGGTCAGGTGTTGGTGAACTAAAATGTATTAAAATGAATAAAATTAAATAACAAACAATTCAGTTTAATGTGTCCTACATAAGCAAACCTACATACTGTAGCCCCAGAAGTGCTGGTCACTTCACTTTCATGCAACACAGTAAAAATAAGTATACATACATTGTAAAAAGGCATATCTTGTCATAAATCGCCTGGATAAATTTCACACGAATCAACTTTGGTAAGGCTATATTCTTTGACAAGGCTTCTTGTACAGCTGGGGGAAATCGTTCAGGTAGGCAAAATGGTGTAACCCAGGTTTTTCTTACAGTGGAGCAATCATTCCTAAAAAGAATTAATTTTGTGGATAATTCGTTAAGTCTTAACCTATTAAGCATTAGGTGTGTTTACTGAAACATGGGGGGGGGTTAGGGGGTATTTACACACTGCTAGAAGTCACAGATAATTTGCAACTGTGAATTATGCTTTCAAAATTAGGCTAAACTTGCTTTACATGTTTTGAAATTGTTACATCTTAGTGAAGTAACGATCAGTTACATAAATAAGGACACCTGAATGTACTCGATTTATACACATACCTTGGTATTGGCGAAGAACAACGAGGCGAATCTTGATCTTTAGAGTTATTTGGGCATTCTAAATCCCAAGGCAAACGTGACAAGCTACCACTGTTGCCGCTTTCAACAGACTCAGAATCACTCCTAACCATCTTCTTAATAACGCCTAAAAGCTTCATTCTTGGCCCAACTTTGTCGACAAGAGACTCGAGTGCATTCTCAGATAAAAGAGCGAGCGCTTCACCGTCAACATCCTCTTCTAGTTTCACAAATACAAATACAAACAGGAATTTATATTGTGACGAGTGATATGAACGCTAATATAATCAATCGGAACAACAAATAAACTAAATTGAGAATTAAATAAGTAAAAGTGAACTAGCTCTGTAGGCTATAAACAACGATTAGCTTGGAGTATTTATCTCTATAATAAAACTCACCGATAAATTTATCACTAAACGTTTCAAATCCATTGAGTTTAAGCCATTCCGATACTTCTTCGCACGAATAAGCGATGGATGGGACCTTATCCATTATCGGAATTTCAAAAATTTTGTGATGCCGATATAAATAACAATGTTTCAACTTTCAACTGTCAAGAGTCAACACGTGTTGTATATAATCACTTATCTGTGTATATAACCCCAGTGTTTGTAAATAGGTTTGCAGTAATCACTATTGGTTTGAATCGCTTATTGGTCGGATTGTCTGCATTGTCTGAAACGTGATTGGTTTAGAATAGTGCGTTACGATTGGTCAAAGAAAATATCAACTTATAATTATCCTCTATTCAGCTGAAGCTCTGGCTTACAATATTTTTTAATTAAAATACTTTATTATCGTAACAATTTGGAACAAAAATGCCCTCGAAAATCGCAAGGTATTTAGGATGCTTTGTGACGTCGAACATATTATATTATACGAACATTATTATATACACAGCATAATCTTGTATCCACCGGCCCACTAGTGCATCCTCAGTGAGGGTCATGTTTTCGAAAGTGGAAGCACTGTTATTGTGTTTTTCGAACTTTTGCATAGATGCAAATATTATTTTAATTTTTTATATTATTTTATACCAGCATGGTTGGATAATGGCGAGTAGTTTTCTTTGTCCAAAACCGGAGTGTTTTCATCTTTCCTTTACTACATTCAATCGTTTTTTAAACCACCTACGCGATAATCACATTCATGAGCCAGGGTTCAAAATAAAATGTCCAGTGCAGTCATGCTTTCGCTCATATTCTGTTCTCTCCTCTCTAACTTCGCATGTTTCCCGTAAACATGGAAAGGAAAAAGTAATAAATGATGACGTTGGTTCAAGAAATCCCGAAAACGATGCACTAAACCGATTGGATAATACAATCGAATGTATACCGAAGACACCCAAGACAGGAGAGGCTTTCTCAAAGAGACATTTAGCTTTATTTGCCCTAAAGACGCAAGAATTAAATCAACTAACTGACAGTACAACAAACAAGGTGATAGATAATACAACAGAATTACTCCAACAACACGAGGCCCATGTTAAAGAAAAGATTAGACTGTGTTTGGATAAAAGTGGGATTAAAATCAGTGATATTGATGGATTGGGAGTTGTCATGAACTTGGAACAAACACCCAACATGGAATTCCTGAAATCCACTAAGAATAGGAACAATTATATATCTCAAGAATTTAAGATAGTGGTATGTATATAGTAATGTATTTTTATGTATGGTTGTAAACAATGTCTAACAATGTCTGATTAGTTTATATTAAATGCTGAGTGCATCCTTATCTTACTTATATTTAGAATCCAATTGAGATAGTCCTTGGGGAGAAATATATGTATGATGAGAATACAACGAATGGTTCATCGAAAGTGAATTCATTCCAGTACATATCATTCATCCAGGTCCTTCAACAGCTGCTAAATCAAATTGATGTTTACTCACAGGTCATTATTCATATAACAACTATAAGTGTCCTGGAAATTTATAATATGACTACCATAATAATATGACTACCATATTATGATATAATATATTTTAATTGATATTTTTTTTAGATTGAAAATTCTCATAGAAGTGTTGATGGGAAAATGAGGGACCTTTGTGATGGTGCTGATTTTGGAGTGGGCAAACATCCACTTTTTTCCTTAAATTATAAGGCTATCCAATTAATTTTATATTATGATGACTTCGAAGTTTCCAATCCACTAGGATCAAAAGCTGTTGTACATAAAATTGGTAGGTTTTTTTATTGTCACAAGATCAACAACTTTGCAATATTGGACTTTGATAGTTCAATTGGATTACTTTTTAAAAAAACACTGATCTGTCAATAAACATTTTCATTTTTATTTACATACTTGCAGGTGCCTTCTATTGGGTGTTAGGAAATTTCCATCCCAAGTATAGATCATGCCTAAAAAATTTGAATCTTTTGATTCTTTGTCCAGTCAAGTGGATTAAGATGTATGGTATGGATAAAGTCCTCAGGCCATTCATGAGTGACCTTGCTATGCTTGAATCAGTAAGTAATGAATTAATACAATACATTTTATTGTGAATATCACCAATTATCAATATATTCAAGATTCCCTATTAAAGAATTTGCCTCAAGCTTGCCAAGAAATATGAGTTATAAATCTAATGCATCTCAAAATGTAATTTTGCTACTTTTTTCAGGCATGGCGTACAACTCAATATAGCAAATCAAATTATTCCAATTAAAGGAACATTAAGTGTAGTAATTGCAGATAACCTTGGTAGCAATTCAATTGGAGGTTTCATGGAGAGTTTCAGTGCAAATCGGCCGTGTAGGTTCTGTCTGGGCACATCGGTGGAATTTCAAGAAAGGTAATTTATTAATCATATCACAAATTGCAATGCTACTAAAATATTGTGAATCATGGTATATTAGTACACAGTTTTTTGTAGGAAATGCTATTGATATCATGAGATTTTAATGGGTGTTAATCAATGTTTGTTAATGTATGTTGTTCAGATTTGATTATACCAACCCCAGTATAATATCCAACTATTTAAATTTCCAGTTTTCTGAAGAATTATTCACGATGAGATCCCGAGAAAATTATGCCAGGCAGGTGGATTTGGTTTCCACTGATCCAGAATCAGCTTCTGTATATGGTGTAAAAAAGAACTCAGCCCTAAATGCTTCTAAATATTTCCATGTTGTTGATGGACTTCCTTCTGATATCATGCATGATATCTTAGAAGGTGTACTTCCTTTCCAAATTAAAGCGATGTTGAGAAAATTCATCATGGTGGATAAATTTTTCACACTTGATCAGTTCAACAACGCGCTTTCAGCATTCCCATATGGTGTTTGTGACATCAAGAACAAACCAAGCTTGGTAAAGAATGTCAATCTTAGTGATTACCATTTACGCCAATCAGGTATTTAACTATTTATTTAAGAGTTGCCTTAAACCTGAGGATGACTACATCAACCACGGTCCCAAGTTCCCATAGTTCTTTTAAAAGTTCTTATAGAATCAGTGTTTAGTCAGTGTTTTGATATAATGCTAGCACTAATTGAGTTATATTTCAGCATCACAAATGTGGTGTCTTTCTAGAATCCTGCCATTTTTGGTTCACAAATGGATACCAGAAGGAAATGATGACTGGGAATTGTTCACTGATTTAATGCATATTGTTGATATATTGTTTGCCCCAGTGATTGAGAAAGGTACTACACTCTATCTTCGGCTCATAATCAGCGAGTATCTGGAACAGTTTAAAAGGCTCTATCCTGAAAGAAAACTTATTCCAAAACAGCATTTCATGGTTCATTACCCAAACCAAATTCTAAGGTATGTCTATATTGATCTGGTTCTCACAGGTGGTGGCTTCAATGCTGAACACCCCAGTACATTTGATAATTTTAATTATTTATTTTATATATTTTAGATATGGACCCCTTGTGCGCAACTGGTGCATGCGCTTTGAGGCTAAGCATCATTATTTTAAGCTTTTGGCGCAGACTGTAGGTTGCTTCAAGAATATAGCAAAGACATTAGCTACCAGGCACCAACGGCTTCAGTGTTACTGGCTTAGTGACAGTGATGGCTATTTAAGGAGTGATACTGAGGTTGGACCAGGTTAGTGAACAACAAAAGTGCATACTGGATATTAGCTGGAATTTTGTAATGGTTTTTAGGATGTTAAATGTTGTTATAAGTATCCTTTATTTCTACTTCATGTATTTATTAATATTCTGCTTAGGTAAAGTTTTTTATGTGAAGGATCTGGAAGAGAAAGAATGCACCTCACTGTGCCAGTTGGGCAACAATTTGGATCAGAATTCAACTGTGACACTGTAAGTTTGTTCTTATATATGGTAAAAATTATTTAAAACTGGACTGAAAAGTGAAAACTATATTCATATTCTAGGTTGAATTGGGTGAAAGTCAATGGTTACAAGTACAAAAAGAATATGATCATAGTCTATCAGCAATTAATTTTTCCTGTGTTTCTTTTTATACATAATGTTTTTTTTATGCCAAACATGGATGTTATGTTTTCTTGCAAGAAAGTAAATACAGTTGCTTTTAGCAGGCACATTCATTGCTATGAGGTTGAAGTTTTGGACGAATTTGTGCCCTTATTATTTTCTGGGATGCTAGATCATCATCCTCTAGATCTTTATACCATTATTGTAAATAGAGAATCAAAACACTTTGTAAGAATGAAGTACGACCTATCTGATGCTGAACAATAGTATACATATGTTAAAGAAATTATTAAACATATTAAAGAAATTCAGTAAATAAATGAATTGTCTGACCCATGATACTGTGCCTGCCTGGAAACATTTAACGAAAAAACTGCATGTGCATGCCTGCTTAGGAACATTTGACGAAAACACGTTTTCGTACCTGGTATACAAATTGTTGTGACCCAGGGTCTATTGGTCTCTTAGTATGTAGTCAATTCCCATTCGTTTGTATCTATACAACCATATATACTTTTATTTTGCAACAAATCAAGCATTTTCCGTCGCGGTCTTAATTTATAAGGCATTGAATTTTGTACACAATTTAGATGTAAGTTTACGCTCTTCAAGTGCAATTTTAAAAACTCATATCGGGTAAATATACACCGTAGACGGTAAATTTACAACGCTCTCGGTGTTTAATAACCTTGCTTTTACTTACACCAGATCACGGTACATTCACGTTTTTTTGGTGTATTAATACAAAAACCAAAGTGTAGATATACACTTATCGAGTGTAAGCATATCTTACACTAAATAGGTGTATACTAACGCAACCGTTCAGTGTAATATAACCTGAGCAGTAGGTAAATGTATGCCATTTTTAGGTAAAAAAACACCAAATTTGGTGTAACCTAGGTTTGTTTGTTTTTACACCGAGAAAGTGTTACAGAAACGCTAGCATAGTGTAGAGTTACGCTTTTTAAGTGTATTGCTACACTCCAATGGTGTTTGACTTGGCAAAACACCTAATCGGTGTTATCCTACACCAGTTTCGTGTTGGCGTAACACTGCGAAATTTACAGTGTAATCCTCAGTCCCTTTCCTTTATCTTATAGAATATCGTTAAAGCTAGATCATTGGCTATTCGATTCACAGTTTCTAATCCTTGCTGTGTTAGAGCAATACCGTACCAGAATTGCGACGAAGTAACACAGCAGAAAAGTTTTTTAACTATATATTTCTACGTGCACACAAATGGCAAAGGAATTTCGCAAGATCTTAAAAACGCTGCTAAAAAAATGTTTGTTAATTATCGAACTGAGTTTGTTGACCTTCAACAACGGCCATTTAGTAAAATTATCACCCATCTTCCCGAGAGTGAAAAAAATAGGAAGGAGAAGTTAAGCGAGTTGGCAGTGGTAATTGAGAAAAACCTTCACGTCTTTGAAAATAGATTAAACGTAACAGCTGTTCAAGCATCGTACAAAGTAACAGGTTCAATGATGAAAGATATTCCTTGCGTCACCGTGTATGTTCTGGGTAAAGGAAAGATTCCCTCAGGAGAAACTGACATTTCGAAAATACCGAAACTAAATGGCTATGAGTTTGATGTGGTCGAAGGATATTTTCTGCCATGTAGCGATCCAAAAATGTATGCATTTCCCTTGCAATGCGGGGTTGGAATTGGATTGGAAAAAATGACAAGTACTGTTGGAACACTCGGCGCTTTTTTAGAAGATGAAGACAAAAAACGTTACATTCTCTCATGTCATCACGTGCTTTGTCCAAACGAAAACGGCGATAATCCTAACCATGACATTGTTCAACCTGCTGAGCAGGATCACCAAAAGGAGGTTGCAAAGATTTTGTCACAGATAAAAGAGTACAGTGATCGCTTGAAAAAACAGGAGGAGATTATTGAATGCGCCTCAGACGATGCTGAACGTCAACGTTATAAAACCCGTGCAGAAAAAAACAAAAAAGATGTAGACTTATTGAAAAATCATCAGGCGGAACTCGAAAATTCGCCTCCAAGAATAATTGGAAAATATTGCTGTGGTTGGAAAGGAAATAAAAAAATAAAAATTCGTGATAATCAGAAAGATAAATTTTACGTTGATGCAGCGATTGCCAGACTCGAAAACAAAGAAGCTCAGGAACTTATCGACGAAAAGAACGAACAATCTAAAGAATATCGTTGCTCTTTGTTTGGTTTTAAAAAAAATTTGGAAGCTAAGTTCGACCCAAAAGGGGAAATTTTTGACATAAGCGAATTGGCCAGCCAAGATCGAAATGAATTGCGATTTGTGAAAATTGGTCGAACGACAGGAATAACCGATGGCGGACAACTTGAAACTTCAAACTTTTTTGCGAACCTTTCTGGATATGGAGAAAAAACATGTGGCGGTGATTTATCTCACGTTCCATTCCAGTTTTTCTGCGCCAGTTGTGAAACGGCAACCAATGAAAACAAAGTTGATATTAGTTATCTAAAAAGCGATCAGCAATGTTCTAAATGCGATAGTACAATTGAAAACAGTACAGAAAAAGTCAACACGGTGTGGGCACGCAACTGCTTAGCAATCCGTTCAAAGAAGCCATTTTGCTGCGAAGGTGATTCCGGTGCCTTGGTTTTTGACAATCAAGGTCGTGCTTGGGGAATGATATTTGGTGTCTTTGCCGCAGAAGGCATCAATTTTGACTTTGGCTTAGCATCGCCTATTAGCGCTATCTTAAAAGCACTCGAAAAAAAATTGAAAAAGAAGCTAGAGCTGTGGTAAGTTTAAATCACCACATCTGAAAAGAGCATACCGAAATTAGCATCATTGCCAAGTTTGGTCGCAAAATGTCAAGTATTGCGGAAAATATAGCCATGCAAAGTAGCTTTTTTTTGTATATTTTTTTACTACGGCGGAAAGCGTTTAACTAATTTAGTTACACACTTCCGGCCGTAGTAAAAAGTATTCAAAATTGTCAACTTCACATGGTTATATTTTCCGCACTTTACAATATTTTGCAGCCAGACATGGTAATTTAACTAAATTTAGTATGCACTTTTTGGAAATTTCCTTTTTGTAGCCTAAATCAAAAGTTGGTCTATTATGCAAAATATAAATACGTTCGTATTCGGCCTTCAAAGATATTTACAAATATTATAGTTGAACGGAAATTTGATGCGATGATGCACTTTCGATTGACATCGATATAAACACCGCTTTGCCTCCGGGGTATCTGGAAACATGCATTGATGAGAATTTGGAATGGTTGCTGACATATCTATATCTCTACATTTTTTATCAAAATTGCTAAAGATGGTAATTTTGCCAATATGAATTGTCAAGAACCGGTGATTTTAATCGCTAAATCATGCAAAGTAAAAAAAATAGTTTGGTCAATAGAAAACTAAAAGGAATATTTCACTTTTGAATATAACATATAAGAGAAATTTCGTTGAATGGTCTGTTTGATTAGAATAAAAAGTTATCAAATTAAATCACGATGAAATCTCGCCAATGACATGCATTGTCATCAATATAATATCCGTCGTAAAATTTACCGTTTTCTTCTACTTACACAGGCGTGCTGAACATTAAGAAGTACTGGGTATCTTTAAGCGGGGGAACGACTATAAAACTCAAGGTCCATATTAAAGTGTGCCCAAGCATACGTGAACGGAAGATCAGAACTTTTCGCGAAATGCCATCATGCAGAAAATTCACAACCGCGTGCGCAACCAACGCACACGCGTGTGCGTTATAGAATCGTAGTGGGTAGTAGAAATCCATTTTTAGTGCGCATGCTCGACAAGTTCCTGAGATTAAAATCATGAACAATTCTGAAATATATCTTAAGTGGGTAAAAGGCTATATAAATGGCGATAGAACTTTAATTATCGACGATATTTAGCAGTCGTTTACCAAGATATACAAGCCGTTTTGAACATTTCAGGCGCTTGTTGAGCATGCGCATGCAGTTGGCCACTTTTCGCTAATGCACACTAAAAAAGCGAGTGCAAGTCGATCTATGCTTCAATGCAAAAACACGGGAGGTATATTAGAACTGTCAAAACAATTATGATTCCGCATGTATGAGACAATATTTGTTAATTACCACCATTAATTATTTGATCGTACGCGTATATGTTTATAGTTAAAACAAAATGTGTATCAAAATAAAGCCAACCTTTCTAGTTTAAATTAATAATAACTTATTTTAGCAATCGATGTGACAACTTCATTTATTGAGGATTATTATAGCCTCGCAAATTAAAACACTATCCAGTAACAGCCGCAATGAAAGGATAAGGATTTACAAATCTGCATGACAGAGCGGATATATACTGATTGTTAACGTAAATTAAACCAAGTTCTTTGAAAACGCTCTAGTGGTGGAGTGAAATTAACCTTGTTAATGTTACTGAATATTTCGACAATTATATATATAATTTACAGATTATATACATAAGCATTTATTTGTAGCATATGAATACAAAATCTTTACACGTTTTACGACTGAATATTATAGCACACATCCGTGATTCCTCCGAGCTAAAATCTTATTAACTGTTCCCGACAAACATCATGTGAGGGATTTCTCACCAACATGGTACCACTTAGTATTCAAACAAACACTGTGACCCTGCATGTATTCGTTAAATCCGTTCAGCAATTAATTATACAACCTACTTTGAGCCAAAGCACTTATATACCATTCACTTTTATTATGCATATTCGGTGTTTATTAATCAGCCAGCGAACTAATTATACTAACAGCAAGCGGTTTTTTTGCACAGTTAAGGAATACATACGTGGTGTATCATTGCAAAATTCATAAACTGTATTTTTTTTTGTAATTGTTTTGGCCGTTCGGATGTCAAGGACACGTACGTCATAACTGTTTTGTAAGTAAACCTCACGTTAGCCGGATAGCCAACAATCCAGAAATCGTGTTCAATTACCTGATAAATTATATATGATAAAATATTGAGGTCAAGGGTAATTGATAAATTCTTATTACCATACGTTGACGTGCAGGTAATTGAATCATTCATTAGTATAAACAACATGGGGCAATTTCCCTCCGTTTTAATACATCTCAACCCCGCATCGACGATCATAATGTAGGTCCTCCTTTGAAGAGTCTGGATCAATACAACTTTAGGTACGAAGTTTTCAAAGCATCTTTCATAATCTATTTGATATCAACATCTATTTTAACGTTCAGATATAATCAGTGGATATAATCAGTGATGTTTTTGTAGTCAGCTATATACTGCATGATAATAATTCTCAAAATATTGTGGAACTTTAACAAAGTTACTTTCACTTTCATTACTAGGG